CCCTCACTGTCCCTGCCCAGCCTCTCCTCAGCCCAACCCATGGATCTGAATCCCACCTGAGTCCCTGGCGCCATAGGAAGCTGATCTCCAGCTCTGCAGACATGGCTATGCCAAGCCTGGCCTGATCTGCATGCTGCCATTCTGGCCTGGCCTAAGCCCAGTTCCATCCCCAAGCCCCTGCCCAGCCATCCTGGAGCTGTGTCTGCTCCTGGTTCCCTGCACCAGACCTGAACCTGACCCTGCCCATGGGGGTACATCCTGGCCTGGCCTGGTCCTATCCCCATGCCCAGGGAGTTGCCCGATGGCTGGAGCTGCCCCCCGCACTTCCCTGGTGCCTGGCTGGGGGGGTAGGACAAGCACCCCAGGGCACACCCACTGTCTCTGGCCTTCATAGTGCCCTGACACGTGGTGTTCAACCTTACAGACACCACCACGGAAAGACCCTTTCACCATTTCAGCTAAGAAAGGTTAATCCAGAAAGGTCTTGGGCTAAAGGGTACAGAAAGGACTTCTATGATTCCTACTTGATGATTTTTTGTCAAGAGCACAAGACTGCCCTTTAAAGAGGCAGTGGGTCTCAGGGCAGCATGCCTGTGTCACAGCAGAGGATAGAGGTTCCTGAGCTAGTTTTAAGTGAACTGTACTGGGTATCGCAGAGGAATCCAGCTGTGGGACTTCAGCATGGGCTAAATTTACCCTGCTTCTCTGCACTGTGGCCTTACTCTGGTTTAGAGGTTTGACAAATTGTCGGCAGGTCTGAACACTTCAGTAACAGCCTGGCATTAATCCCAGGTTCCAATAGGAAGTAAAGACTGCCAAAAGACATTGGGAAAAGAAAAAGAGCTGCTTCCCACCAGCACTTAGGGGACCTCAACCTTTCAAGAGGAGATTCTGAGCTCCTGATGAGAGCAGACTTTCATAAACAGTGTTCCAGTTTTACAATTGTATAGCCAGGCCAGATCTTTTGTTCCCAGATCTTCTGAAGTTGCTAAAAAAAGTCAGTTATTGAAAGCCTCTTTTTTCCTCTCCTTTTGGCAAGACTGAGTCTCCCAAGTAATGCAGAGCCTGTGCACAGTGCTCCATGAGGAGTGAAACTGCAGCTTATCAAGAAATGGAGAACCACAGCATACACCTTTGTGGGGAAGACAGTTGGAGAGATAGGAGAGCAATTTCCTCTCCTGTATATTGCCTCCTTCCCTGTGGTGACTATGCATAGATGTGAAAGGAAAACTACAAAATCCATAAGCCCAAACGGTATGGAAACATATTGTAGCATGAAAGTCAGGTTGCTCAGGTCCCATTTAATGCCCAGCACAAAGTAAAGTTTCATGGCCTGCTGTTTCAGAAAAGGGTAGTTTATTTTAAGTCTTTCAGTACATGACTGTGATTCACTGGGTCATCTGAGTTCTGAATGCAGCAGACTCTGTTGTGTGGGTACACATGTACATGGTGTATACATGAGTGAGGAAAGCTAGGGGTGACTAACTACTTCCACTTCTCATTTCCATGAACTAGAGATCTCTATTGTTGCTTAACCTGAAGCTAAGAATGCAGTAAATACTGGATGGTGGGATTAGAAGTCTTTTACATAACCCAATGTAAAGTAACAAAAGAGTTTTTCCACAATCAAATGCTTATTTCCAGTATCCAGCAGAATGCAAGTCTCCTATCTGAACTGCAAAATCAAAACTCACTAAGAATAAACAAGGGAATGAGGCAATTTCTTTAGCCAGACAGGTAAAAACCTCAAGTCTTTGATATTGGACTGCAGAAAAAATGCTGCTCTGATTCAATTGTCACTTAAATGAGTACAAATCAGGAACAGCTCATGTAAATCTTACATCTGTACTACACCTTCTGGTAAGTCTCATGGGCTCAACAGTGATGTGATCTAATTCAAAAAGTCATTGAGTATTTATTAAGAATGAGTTTTACAAGAGTACTCTGGAGCACTTCTCTATTTGAAAGGAGAAAGTAGGTTAAAAAAAGGGTAATTTACAAGGAAAAGACAAGGCAAGAACACTCAGCATGAGGGCCTGGTTAGACACATGACAGTGTTTAACCCTTACTGTTCCTAATCCTTCAGGCCAGGCTTGCAACACTGGAACCTTTTCAGTTCTTGCTTTTGGACCTACTGACTGCTAAGAGGACAGAGCAGTCCCAGTCTCTTCATTTACTGTTGGCTTAATAGGAACAGTGTAGAGGACAAGATGCAGCATATGTTAAAAGTACATGCCTGTGGGCCACATATGTCATGCAGCTGGAAGGCTGCTGCCTTATAGAAGTAATAACATGGCCAAGAAACACCCATTATGATCAGGCACATGGGCAGCCAAGTGAGTAATGCTGCCAGGAGGAATGCCTACAGTGCAGCAGTTGTGAAATACTGATTAAAAAGTCCTGAAGTGGCTGCTTGCCCCTGACAAGTCGTTCCTGCTGAAGCAGGCATCTTTCCAGGCTGATAGTTTCTAAATGTACTTTCAGGCTTATACATTTTGGATGTCGTTAGCTGAAGCCAGTTTGTTCTTCCTTTCTATATCTGCAGTGCCTCCTATCATAGCCCATCATTTCAGCTTATTGTCACCCTCCTGGGAATCTTTAGTTCCTCAGCAGAGTTGACTGGAAACCTCCCCTCATCCACCATTTCCTTAAGAGTTCAATCAGCTTAGCAGGAAAGGCTGAAGGCCAAAACCTACAAATAAGATAAACTTTGTTGTAGTAAAGAGAACACTAAATGTATCTGCTGTTTTTCTTCTTTTTGGTTTCTTTTTTTTTTTTTTTTTCCCCTCCTCATTGTATGTGAAAGGTGAAGATGAAATCTGCCTCTGTCAGATGCTGGCTGCTGTTTAAAGTAGACATGTCTCCAGTAAGATGTTTTGGGGGATGGGGTTTGATAAGGGTTTGTTATATTATAGTTAAGGATACATTCATGTCAAATTGCTGACAATCTGATCAAAGCTATCACTTTGCTCTCCTACTTCTATTTTCTTCCTTTCCCAGTTACTTGAATACACTGTCGCTCAGAAGTTTTGTTCCTTATTTTAAATAAACTTTTGGTACAATAGTCCCAGCAACCCAAAAGTAAAGCAAGTTGTTATGCAAGGGTAAACAATGAATGTTATATGTTCTATTTATTTCATTTAGCCAGTATTAGAGCTTTATCACAAGAATATTTGATTGTTGTGAGAAAAGTCATATTAATAATATGTAAGATAAAACTGAAATCAGAACTTCATAACATTCCTGTTCTACAAAGCCATGTCTGCTTCAAAACAGCCTTAGGATTTTGACTGCATCTCGTTCAGCACAGCCATATTCATAATTTTCTGTGGGCTCCTGAGTTATTTTGTTGCACTCGAGGGTACTGGTGCTAGTTCTGCCTGCAGTCTGCTCAGCCCTTCAGCACCAGAAATGTTTGTGACATGTATTTTGTCATGTAAGTGGCCTTTTGAGGTCTCAAAAAAAAAGGTGTTAAATTTACACGACCTTCTTATCTGTTGACAGCTACATTTTCCTAATCAGAAGAAGCAAGTTTAGAGCACGGTTGTTATTGCTGCTCCTGTTATTTTTCAAACTTCCTGATGGTAACTGTGTCAAATGTCACTATTTGAAGAAGGTGAAGGAGCTGATCTAGTTAAATTCTGAGATTGCTTTGTCATCATAAAAGGGTAAAGAGTGACTGCAAATACTCTTCAAGAAAAGCAAATGGAGTATCTGAAGCTTTTTTCACTGGTTTTGCTTGAGCGGAGTAAATCCCAATTCATGGTGACAGGCATGAGAGAAGGTCAAGAATCCAGGGAAAATGTGTGCCAACACTTACAAATGAAATAACTGAGAGTTGGTTCCTCCTTGCACACTTAAGGCTGGAAGTCAGTGACAATTAGTGATGAAAGTCACTCTTTCGCCCAGCAGAACTTTGCCTTATGTCTTTACTGACAATTTCCTGTTGGGGTTTGTCAAGTATCTCTTCTGGAGCACGAATGACACTACAGCAGACAGCTCCTAATATCTTTTACTGTGTACAAGAAAAGCTATTCCACTTCACCCTTGAGGTTTCAGAATGGAGCTTTTCTAAGCTAAGTGCACGAGTTTTAAAGAAGCATATATATGTTAGTGTGTGTATCATACATACACACACACACGTAGATATATATACATATTGACACGCTCATAGTTTATTAATGTTCTTGTGGCTGTAAATACTGATGATATAGGAAAATGTAATATGACCTTATAAAAATGATTTATTAGTACATAGTAAAGTACAGGCTCCCATTGCAACTCAGTTGTTATTTATAATTAACAAAATTAGGTTTCCCAGACACAAATGGGAACTATTGTTGTTTAACCATACTTTGATTTTTGGTTGTTTAAAAATTTCTGTGACTAATCTCTTCATTATAAGTTCAGGGTAGCTTGAGTAACACAGTGCTGAGAGCAACTGAATCTGCTCACTGCTGTTGATGACTCCAAAACCCCTGCACATCTTCAGTGTGTAGCTACTGCTCTGGAGCATACATACCTGCAATTGTCTGGCTTTCACTGGCAGGTATACAGGAAATTAGATGTGGTATTTGATGGCTCAGTTTCGTTTTGGGGCATTTACAGTGTTGATCTCAGCAGAGTTTAGACCATGTGATCTTACTGAAATGCAGTATTGGATAGAAGTGAGAAATGTGCTTATTCAGAGTTCCAGCTGTCAAGTGCTTTAAAAACTTCTCTGTTGGATGTGGATACCACTGCTGGGAGCACAATAAAGAAGAAATATTTGCCTTAGGAATTATGCTGTCCTTACTCAGCATCTTTTTGTAACTACGTCGTTAGCCAGAACTTGCCATGTTGCTGTGTGAGCTGATGAATGGATTGGCATTGACGTAGTGAGTCTTTTTTCCGGTGTCAAAACATTACAGTGCATTTAGAGTTGCCCCTGGCTAAAGCCGTTTTAAGTGAGAGAGAGAGTATGAACGAGATTTACAGTAAAGGTCTTTTCTTCTTTGTAGATTGCTGAAGGGTGGAGGGAGAGCCTCCCCCTGCCTGTCAGTGTGAACTTGGCTGTTCTACACAGCAGCACCCGGGGTTCCCTGCATGGTAAGCTGGTGGGTATGTCCATAAGCAAGGGGGTAATTGTATGCCTGACAGAATAATCTCAAAGTATCAAGAATTGTGATATGTGATAAAGAGAAAAGATGGGAGAAAGGGAGAATGGAGGCAGAACCATAATAAAGTGACAACTAAGTCTCTTTTGAGTAAAAATCTTATGGTGATATGAGGCTCCCAATGGGAATGGTGTCACTTCAATCCTCACCTCTTCAGGAGCAGATTTCCATTCATATCCCAGCAGTTGGCTCTGTTAATGGGACCTCTTTGTATGGAACAGCTGCTTCAGGAGGGAAGGATACGTCATATTGGTATCGGTCTCCATACCAGGTACAATGCATGAAGAAAGCCACTTTATGCTAGCAAAGCAAAGTGTTAAGTTGTCCTTACTAAAGAAAAACACAAAAATGAGGAATCTCAAGCTTCAGTACATCTGGCACTTATCCCTTGGTTTGGAGGATATCTGAAGCACCTCTCAGCTTCAGAAAAATGAAGAGACCAATTCAGAATTTCTCCAAGATGGTATTTTTCAGTGGGCCTCCATCCACTTCTTACTATTATTTGGTACAGAAGAATGATCTCCTTTTTGTTGAGTGCCAAGGAAGCTATAAAATCTCTTTCATTCAGAATAGTGGCTCCCAAGGTGAAAATACTCTGTGGCAACTCTGTGGCCATTGGAAAACATCTGTGTTCTACACATTCTGCAAATATAGCAGCTGATAAGGAAGATGCAGTAAGCTCCATCTATCAAGCTGTTACCTTTTATACAAAGGTGAAGACAGCAGAGTTTAATATCTGGGATTTTTAAATAGCCTTGTCCTTCTAAAAAGCCACAAGACATCAGCTGCAATTATTACTGGAAATCTTGTATTTGCACAAGAAAAGCCACAGGCTTTAAGTTTATACTCAAATCATGCAAGTACTCTGCATCGTTTTCTCAAGGATAACACTCTTCACTGTGTTACAATTAATGTCTCCTGTGCTTGATAGAAGCAAGAAGGCTAAACTGGCTACAGAGATCTATTTTTCTAATAGCATTTCTTCCCTGTAAACCATGAGGTGTGCCAGTATCACCTTCAAAACATAAACTATGCGTATATGCTTGTAGATTTTATGCATTGCTTACACATCTTATGCTACCACTAATTTGTCTTAGTCAGCTCTCTAATGTTATGTGACCTCTCACTCCTGCATTCCAATGTCACCACTGTCACACTGCTAAACATTAACTTGACAATTATTTTGAAAAGCACAACCTGCCTTCATTAACCTTTTGTAAGGACACTTGATGTTAAAATATGACACTACCTAGTTCTAAGCCAACGTGGTGATGCACTTAATGCTTTATTGCTCTTAATGCTGTATTACCAGATACAATTCACCCTTTCTTATAGATAATGAAATCATTATATATTTATTTGGCTCTTGGGTCTAAGGTCCAGGTACTCTGATGTTTATTACAGAAGCTAACAAAACATTTTGGTGGGGCATTAAATCCTTAATTGCCTTCTGTTTAGAGATGTCCATTAGCCATCACTGCTGAAAACTGCTAAAAATATCAACAATGATTCCATATCCTCAGTAAGACTAAAGCTGGGCAGTTCCCCATATTTCTTGCTAATGTTCAGCAGAGGATTCCTCTCCCATAGTTTTATTTTCCTGAATAATTGGTCTCAGCTGTCCAGTTTGGCCTTTTAATGATTTCAAATGTTTTATGATTTAATAACAGAAATTAATAAAATAAACTTGATACCAATTTCAGCCTAGGGCTTTCTTTTCCTCACTCTGTGCCAGTAGTGAAGATGATTGCTTTTCTAGCAGTAATATTCTTCCTAGGCATCTTTTCTAAGGAGTGCTGTAGAGTTCATCACTCTGCTCTCAATTCCTCTTATTTTTCTAGGGGCCTTGGGTATTGTGGGTTTTTGTTTTGTTTTCCTTATGGTTCATGCAAGAACTTAGTTCTAAACTAAAGATGTATAAACAAGGAGGGAAATAATGGGAGTCTTATCTCTCAAAGTAATTTTACTTTATTAATTTTTGGTGAAATACCAAGCAAACTCATTATTTGCTCAATTGAGGAGAAGAAAGAGGTAAAGAAGAGACTCTAGCTGTCAGATGGTGAGCCTTTCCAAAAAGCTTTAGACCAAACTTTAGGAACAAACTTTTAGACCAGGGCAGTATTTCTTGGTAGGTGCAGTTCTTTGATCTTTCCTGGGATACCCCCTATGACAAGAGTTTGTGAGACACTACTCTGCTGTCAGCTGTCAAAACTGGATCTGACCAATGAAATGGAGAAGGAAAAGCTGTCATTATTTTCCTGCTCATCTACATCTCTTCCTTTTTCCTGTAACTCTCTTTGTCTTGCTGAGCTGGGGTCATCAGTGAAACTTCTGTGCTTTGTCTGGAGATGGGCAATCCATTGACTCTGAAAATGACACCAGGGACAATTATCCATATGATGATCTCCCACAGTAAAGCTCTGGATGACAAGATTAATGTAAAGGTCACACAACTATGTATGAACATCTGAGCTGGATTTGCTTGTTGTATCTGAGCCATATGGCATTGCAATGCAGTACATAGGTGGTGTTTCCTCATTCTAGATACATCAGAATTCCAAAGCAGGCATAAACTAGAGAGTCATATTATCTCTGTAGGGTGCTGATGAAACTTCTGCAGAAATTCTGTATCTGCTTCTGGTAGATTTGTCTTTAACCTGCAAGGAGTACAGACCTTGAAAAATATAAAATTACTTTTGTCTCTCAGTCATGGGCAACTAAGCTGCCTCCCGAGTGTTTTATGTACAGAATTCCCTTACTTCCTATTTACTTCACAGTGTCCAGTTGAAGTATGACAAGGGACTGTGTCTAGGAAGATCTAGAAGGATCTTGCTTTGAAATCATTAGACAAATCAGATTCAAATCACACTGATGGGTCTGTAACAAACCAAAATCTTTCTCTTCCCTTGGCTTCTTCCTCAAAGAGAAATGCCCTGAATTAGAATATATAGCACTTTGCTTAATCTGTCAGAATAACATGCAAACGTGTTTTCTTTTCAGTGTAGTTGTGAGTCATATCTCATGACTGGAATGCCAGTTTCATTGTCTGTATGGGCTGGGAAATAAATGACTGCTGTAAACAAACAACAGAATTTTTATACATGTAATTGATTATCTGATTGTTGCTTTTACCTCCTAGTATGCAGTGATGGGAAAGCTTTTCTCCTCTCACATGTATGCTGTAATGTTTGCAGGTGGCTCTTTTGTGAAATAACGTGAAACATCCAGTGAAGAAGTACATTTGTGTGTGTTATGGATTCTACTGGAAATATGCACATTTTCTGGATGTCTTTCTCCCGGTAAGACACCAGAATGTTGCACCTGCTCTCTTTGGTCCTCCATTTCCCAACAGTACTATGCAGGCAGAGTAACCCAGGCTGATCAGGAATCGGTCGCCACCCGCCCTGGGTATGGCCCTTCAAAGGAGCTCCCTGGTCTCCACGGCAGTGATGTGTGTGGCAGGGGAGCTTACTGCCAGCTCTGAGCAGCTTGGCAGCTGTATTGGTGACAAACAAAACACTCCGAGAGTCATTTCAGATACAAACCTTGCTTAGAAAACAGTTCTCAGCAAACTGAGCTCACAAAGCGCTCAAGACTGAAACAGTAGAAATAATTTCTGTGACTCCCACTCCCATTGCCAAGAAGGAATCAGACCTTCTGGGGAACTCTCCAAATTGATCCAGATACAGAGCTGGGCAGGCAGAGAAGGTGAATGATGTTGGCAGCTGGGCAGAGAGCCAACTAGCAGTTCCCTTCCAGAGTTTCACGGCTACACGGAGCATAACATCTCCCTCTACCATTTAGTAAATTTATGACATCACCAGCTGTTACCAGGGAAACTCAGAAAATACAGATTTGGATCTTGGCAGTTAGGTGTAAAGAGAAAATATCTTGCTCTTTTGGGGTCAAAAAGGAAAGCTGAAACAATTCCAGAACAACTTTGAATTGGAACAAATCAGTAATTCCAAACCAAACAATTGAGCTGCTAAACTGACAGCATGGTCCCTATATTATGACCCTCACAGAAAACAAACATGGGAGATTAAGTGCAGAACTTCTAACTTCATGCAACTTTAACATATCCCTTGGACATAAGACCATTAATGTAGACTTAGAACTTCAGTTCTGATCAGTGGATTTAACAAGTTGCTTTTAGGGATGTGATATCCTCTGACCAATGTTTTTTCAGAAAGTGCTGATAATTGCTGCTTCTTGAGAAAGAGTTTGCTGGTGTTTCACAGCAAAGAAAGTATGTAGTGCTGAGTTTTGATAAAATTGTGTGCAAATACCATTACTGTTGTGATGAAGTATGTGCTTTTTATAGCTTCTTAAAATGTGGGCTCTGTGAGAACGGATGTCTTCAGACGTGTTTTGTGGCTTTTAGGTGCTTGAGATTTTTGAAGGTTTGGGAGTCACATTTTTGTCTTTTAGTAACAATAGCTGACTTTTTATTTATGTTGCATGTTTAAATGAAAGCACTGCTTTTAAAATGGATTATTATTTGAGTATTGAGTAGTTGAGGCCCAGCTAATATTAGCTCTTGTGCAGGTTTGTTTGATTTCATTCAGGCTGTACAAAATGTACAGGTTTGGTATGTGGTCAAGTTACCCAGAAACAAATACATCTTTGCTGCAAAGGCAGAGGGAATAAGTTTGACTGAGGACTCAGGTCTGGAATTGTAACAGCTGATTTGTCTCTATTCATACCTGCAAGGCTGTGGGCTGAACACGACTGGAGACCCCAGGTAAGAAAGGTAGAGGTTGTTATACTCACCAGATGTGTGGGAGATCTGAGACAATCTGTATGGAGTGTTAAAGACCTGTGGACTCACCCTATCTGGCTGTGTCTACACTAAGAACCAAAATTTTGTAGGAAAAAAGTCCCCCCCTGTTATTAATCTGGTGTCAAATATGTCCGTGATGGAGGTTCTGACATGGACACTTCGCAGCATTTCTAGCACTGTTACACAACTGTTGTCTTCAACAGCATAGGAACATGTTTAGTTTGATTTCCATCCTCCATACCAAAAAACAGGCAAGATCTTCTTGCCAAACAACCAATCTCTCTCCCCTGTTTTGTCGGTGGCCTTGGATCCTGGAATTTCTGTGTCACAAGAGCAGTTTGCGTACAGTTTGGATCTTGTTATCTGGAACATGGTTCAGTGTTCCCTGTTGTGTCTTGCTTCAGTGGGATAATGACCAAGGAAGCTGCTGAGACATGGGTGGGTTGCCAGGGATATGTCATGAGAAAGCTGTCCAGAGTCATCTGCCCACATGCTGTGATGCTGGCTCCCATTTCCAAAGCAGGGTTGCAGACAGAGGAGATCATTAGTGCTCCAAAGACCTTAGCTATCTATGCAAGTTCCTTTTTTTATCCTTTATAGTGAGTCACTTGGAAAGGCTCCTTTTTTGGTCCTCTTTAGTTCGACTGCTGGTTCCTTTTGCTTGCATGCCCAGTCTCAGCCGTGAGACTTGTGACCGGGGCTGCAACAGCCGTTGGGGCTGCAGTCATGGATTATCTCTGGAATGGTGGAAATATCATTCTTCTTCACTTTTCTTCTTTAAGGATATGAAAGATGTTTCTGAAGAGGAAGGAATTTACTTCTTGGGAAAATTCATGTACAACCAGGATGGAGTTCCCCATGCAGACTTTCAGGTGGTAGATTTGCTCTGAAATTCCCAGGAGGAGGAGGAGAACATTTTTGTCTTGTGTGGTAAATTCGTGGTGTTGGCAGTCTCTGCCATGGTTTTAGAACTCCTGTGGCTTGCACATATATTTTGAGTACACTTTCCAAAATGCTGTCTCCACTGGAGACACTCTTCAGTACCCACAAGGGATCAGGAGGAAGTACTTTGGCCCTGCACAAGCTCCACAAAGGCCTTTAAGAAAATGAATTAATATGACAAGACTGCATTAATCAGACAACTATATGATACTTATTATTTTATATTCACTATCACTTATAATTGTAAATTACTACAGGACACCTTCATCTTGTTGCTGATGACCTTTCTAAATGGGGTGCACTGGAACAGGAGGGGTGGTGTAGTAGGACATACAGGAAAAGAACAACAAGGAGCTTCTATATGATGCTCTCTTTAGCATAAACATATTGACTCCTGGACTCAGAGAAAAGGGTGTGAAGGAGCCTCAGTGGAGAATATCCAGAGACAACAAACTAATTGTCTTTCTCATGCTTTCATCCTCTTTTTTTTTTCCCCAGGAGATAAATAGGAAGAATTATCAACACCTGAACCTGAGATTCACTTATACTAGATGTGTATTAATCAGATTCAACCAGGTGGGAACCCTGTCCCCTGAAGAACATACTTATGAAGAGCTAGAAAACAAATCATAAAATCTAGTAACTGCATTGATGTGAGCTTGTGACACAAATGGACACAGAGCAATTCTCTCCATTCCTTCTGGATTGCACTGTGTTGGAAAAAGTGATAAAGAAAATTTCTGCTGTACTGGTTATGTTTATGATAGATGAAAGCTCCTCTAAACATGACACTTTCTTGTTCTCTTTCTTGACCTTCTTATGTATGCTGAGTCTTGGTTGCTGACTAAAGTAGCAACACAGATAACTGGGCTTTTAAAGGCCCTATTTCATAAATCTAATAACAACACTAAGAGAAGCTGAAGTGTATTCTCTTCTTACCAGTGTATCATTAGTAAAACTGGTATGACATTTTCTGTGTAAAATAGCTCCTGAAAAAAGATCTGGGCTGACTTTCAGGCTCCAGTGCGCTGACCATTAGGAAGGAAATCTTCCTGCTACCTTCATTAGGAAGAGAAGAATGCTGCATGAGAGACACTTTTCAAAGTATGCCTCATCAGCAGCCCTATGTTGAGGGATTTGGTGGCCTGCAGCTAGTAAAACTTAGTGGCGTCCTTCAGAAAGGAGACACAAGCCAGTTTTGAGTTGCTATGCTCCTCTAAAGGGATTTTGCTAAAAAAGGAGAAGAATTTATCACCTCTTAGAACATATTTTGGCTGTACTATGCAAACAATTTAGTAAAATCTCTGTATGTGAGTATTGGCAGTCTGGGAAACAAAAGAAGTAGGGTTGCTTTGTGTGCACTGAGGAATTTTTGCTACTGACTTCACTGGAGCCATAATTCGTCACCAGATTAATATCCTGAAACCTGAAGTGACCTTAAAAGGGCTACTGCAAATTTATAAATCATAATCACAGTCCTCAGTTGACATGACAACCACTACCACTCCTGTTTAGGATCTTGCCCTGCAAACCTGTAGCCCACTCAGTACTCACCCATGAGATTACTTTATCCCCACGTATTTTTACAGGAACTTTTGTTGATAACAAAGAGCACCTTTTTTAAAAAAGTGTTTGAAGGCAAGTTATACTACTGAATTCTTAGTGTTTTAGTGCTTGGGCTTCAAACTGTAACAAGCTGATTTGTTGAATATCTACAGTCCTTACTGGAATGTTTTTAAATTGTGTAAACATTCCTACTAGTTTTATGGGTTTCTAAACGTGGGGTTTTTTTTTACGTGGGTACAAATCTAACTTGACAGTGTACTTTCCAAGCCTCTATTAAATAGGGCCAACTTTTTATTGATAGAGGAATATCTCTGAAATAGCTTTATGATGTCTTGCAATGGAAGACTTTTCATTAACTCCGACTTGAAAAATAACCTACCACGTATTTGTAAGTCCTTCATCAGTTCTTACTGTATCGTAATGTCTGTGGGACCCCTGCTGGTGGAAAGGGGAAGAGAAGAGAGTGAAAAACTTTAAAGTTAACGGAGAAGGGAATATATTTTCACTGTACATTGTGTTTGCCGATTACTGTTATCATGCAGCCACCAAAGACCTCAGTGTTTTGAAACTTCTCGCTTACAGGTTGCAGTTTGTTGCTTTCCTCACATAACTTTGTTTTACCTCTCTTCAAGTGTGCCAGTGCTGCTTTAAAAGGTCAGTATAGAAGTCTTCAGCTACACCATCTGGTTTCAGTTTTCCTTAATTTGGTGTCAGCCATGCTCCTACAGTCCATATGATTAAAAGGGACAGAGTTAAACCTACTGCACTTTAGGGATTTAAGCCTTCCTTTTCCTCATGTAAATTCTGACCTTTCCAAAACGAGCTTTCTTTCTTTTCTTTTCCCCTTAGAAAGTGGAACATAAAGCAAATGTTTGATACTTTTACTGGAGGAGCCAAATTCCATGCATGCTGGCTGCTTTTCACTGACAGAAAAATTATTCCACAATAATTTGTCATCATTTCCAAAATGATACTGTATGTTACTGTAACAATAACAGCTAACTTGGCCTTTTGAGAGGTATATATTTTCTTAAGAAATTTCAATTTAGTAGGGAAAACACTGATCATGATGACCTTGAGGGAATACAGCCTAAAGAAAGAAGTAGATGTTTGTTTGTGACTGTTTTAAAATCTCCTGGCTGGAACAGTTTCCTGTTGAGGCACTTTGTGCTTGTGTGACAACCCATGGAGGGGTTCTCCTTCTTGCTCTGTCTGCAGCCTGGGTCCTGAAAAGGTAAAGAGGGAGCAGGGGCAGCCTCAGTCCCCTCTGCTGAGGGGTTCCCTGGGCAAGGAAAACACACTGTGCAAAAAAGCTCATTGTAACTATTATCTGATTGTCTGCCTGACTACAGGACTAAACAGACATAGGGTGGCTACCAGTATATGCCAAGTATACTTGTCCTCTGTTCCTCGTGGTGTGACTGAGCCTTGGGAACAGTTATTTAGTGGGATCATTGGGAACAGTTATTTAGTGGGATCACTGATGAGCTGCTGAATTATTCCTTGTCTGGATTCCTTTGTTTAGGTTGCCTCAAATTATCACCGCACTTTATTATTTATATACACACACAACTTTTAAATCCATGTAGATTACCCTTTTTGTGCTGAAAATGCACTATGCACTTCTCAGACCTTGCAGCTGGTTGAGCACCAATGAAGGAAATGAATTTGGTAACTGAGCTGGGAGAGAAAGGTGCTTGGAGATGCAGTTTCTAATGCTTTCTTATAGATATTCCCTTTAGACCATGTAAAGAACTCTTCTTGTCTATATTACGAAAGAAACGGGAGAATATAAAAATTTTAAAGTCTTTTAAAATTAAAACCTCTGGGAGCTTAATTAAATGTACTGTGAGAAATATGTGCAGTTCACTTGCAGCTATTGGCTTGAGGTTTATGCATTATCGCCAAGTCCTGGAATGAATAAAGCTTTAATGTTGGAATATTTGTTATGTGCATTTTTCTAGGTTGAAGCAATGAGAAAATGCATACCTAGATTCCATGTATTTACTAAAAAGGAGAATTTTGGATTGCAAGTAATGGAGATGACTTGTTCAAAACCTGCTGTTCAGACGTGCTATTGAAGCCTTAGTGGAGCTTTGGTTCGTCGTAATGCTCATCCCTCCTCTAACTTGTAGCTGTGGCACACCTGCTCGTCCACTCCTTTTCACCTGTTCATCTTTCCCCCTGCATGTCCTGAAGTGCTCATTCCGACGAGGAAGCCTCCCTTCCCTTTTCGTCCAGCGGTCGCTCGCACATTCGCAGCAGCGTGTGCTCCCGGTGCCGACCGTGTGTCCATCCCTCGCCCAGGGGTATTCCCGGTCTTCGGGAGGCAGCTCGCACTCCTGCCGGGAGCACCGGGAGCCGGCGGGGCCTCCTCTGCCCTCTGGCGGCCGCAGTACGGCAAGTTGTCCCTTGCAGGGATCTTGGAACCGCTCCTGTTTCAGGCTGGAAGAGTCGGAAAATCTCACAGCTCGTTTCTCAAGCGCAAGAATATGTTTGCTATTCTTTGGCGATCGGCACAGGTACTTTTATCGGCGCGTTTAGTTTTACAAAGACGCGCACGCGAGGGGGCACAGCATCCCCAGCAGCTGGTACCTGGTACCTCCCAGAGTTTGGGGGGTAGAAGGGGTAAGAAACGAGAACATACAAAGGGGAACTGCAGAGGGGCAGCACTCAGAAACGCAGGTATTGCTGCTATTGCTGTTCTCTGCCTATGTATGTAGGCAGAGAAGACGTGAAGTAGATGGAAAGCAGAAATACTTCAAGAAATAACGGAATTAACTACTGATGAACACATCTGCAACTGCAGAGATGTTTTCAAAATAAGGCAGAAAAAAAAAAAGAAAAAGAAAAGAGTATAATAAGAGAGCTGAGCACTCCAGTTCCAAGATGTGACCTTGTGGAACATTGCACAATAGCCTCAAACTGAAACAGAAGACATATTATTGCATGTAATGAGAGGGTCTGGGAAGAAAAACTGTCCAAAGACAGAAAAACACATCTAGAGAGCTAGGGCTGGAAAATTCCCCAGAGAGAACATCACAAAGACTGACCTCATGATGGCCTTCAGTAGAACTCAAAGCTGTAAAGATCTGGCAGTTTTTTATTTCTTTTTAACTCAGGCTCTGTATGGAACTACTGTATTGGAAATGCCACAAGACTTTAAAATAAAATTAGTTATAAACATTGACTAGATTAACATTTAAAATTATTGTTACTGTGTTTGAGGTAATTATTCATTAATTTGAGAATACACAGTTTTTTGTGATTATATTTTATGTAAATTGTAGATAGATGTGCACATTTGGGATATTTACCCCTATCCCATATTAACTGCAGGTGACACACAGGGATACTACACTGATGCCCTAAGCTTGCTCTTTAGGAATGTGCCTGTTTGTTTGCCACTAAAAAAACTCAAAGTCTTTCTTTAAGCACTGAGCTCTCTGCATCCACGCCACCTATATAGATGCCTTGTATTTTCGACAGGATTTTTCCTACTTCAGAGCAATACTACCAGGAGGAGAAAATACAGATCAGCGCTCAGCACCTCTAGTGCTGGTTGTATTTGCCATTATTTGAGAGTAAAGAACACGTAGGTATGTATTTCTGGTACATTTCCAGCAGCACTTTCTGTGAGTAACCAAACTGAAAGCAATATATTTCCAATTCTGAAGAAAATCTATTTTTTGGCAGTAAGTATGTAAATAATTTTCCTGTCCCAGTTCCCTTCTCTGGGACTGTTTGTCTTGGATCTCTTAAAAAATTCAAGTGATTTTAAATCTCTGGCAGAGAGATTTGGGCAAAGCTGGTGGGGAGGAGCTGACCTCAGCCACAATGTGACGGCAAGCTGAGCTGATGAGGGTGAAGAGAGGAAGAGCTGATCTCCAGGCCATGGGGCCTTGCTTTGGTAAGTCTCTTCCCAAAAGCTGTCTGCCCACAGAAGACTTAAATGCTTCGGACTATTACTCCTTGGCCTGTGAGGGCAGGACAGTCTCAAGTGCTGGACAGTTAAGCTGGATGAAATTAAGGTCTGGTTACCTCAGGGCCCTCTAAATCAGTACTGACCTTAATTTTACAAGGGATACAGAAGGATCAAACAGTTCCTGGTGCCTTTAGGAATCAAGAATGATCAGTGCTTGGGACAAGCTATGTTGCTGGTTTCTGTTGTTTGCTACTGTGTAGTAGATCTTCAGATACTTATCTTGAATTTAACCTATTTTAGCTAACTTTGTTACATTTTCTGTTTGTTTCTAAGCCTTCCAATTATTTGAATTGATCGTTAACCTAAGAGGATGGATTATCAGGCAGAGAATATAAAGTGGTTGGCTTTCTCTCTGGAGAAAAAAGAGGTGGAGAGCAGAAGGACTATGCTTGAGAAAGTACATGCTGGAGTCATTCTGGCTGGAAAAGATCTGACAATATAGGTAGGAAAAGATCTGACAATATAGGTAGGTTTGGGCAGTCTCTTGGAGTTTGTAAGGCTCCAAGAGTTTATGTGGCTTCACCCCACAGGGCACCTAGAAGTGGGAACATAATGCAAGAGTCAAAGGTCGTGGAAGAGTTTACCATGACTTTTCCAGTCCTAACTCTGCAAACCACTGACACTGTTCTCCAGGTCTTCCTTTGTAGGCCCAAAGGCATTTGTGTTTCCTTTGCTTCACTCTTTCCCTGCTTGGTGCAAGAGGCTCTGATGTCAAGCAGCAAACAGTTGTCTTCTGTCTTGGTGCTGTGGGGTTCTGTGCACCTCTAATAATATGATGAGCACCTTAAATTTCTATTGGCATCTCTGACAGCTTCAGGGTGTCAGAAATTTTGGGGGTCTGACCCCGCCCAAGCCCTCCTTTGAAGGCTGCATTTGAACCCTCAGTTTCTCTCCCAGTAAACAAGCATGTGTCTTTCAGGGGTACATGCCAACAAGAGCTAATGCATTTATTCCATGGATGTGAGCAAGGAGACAATATTCCTTTATAATCTACTTGTCATTAACTCACATTTCTGTTTCAGTGGGAGAAACTCCCTCCCTCGGCAAAGTTCTCAGTGAACCTGTGGTCTGTCTTGTAGACCATGGCAGATTTTTCTACTTCTCCCCATGCTGTGACTTTCTATGGGCAGTTTTGCCCAGTGTTGTCTAGAACGATATTGTGCAATACAAAGGAGATCTGTGTGATTCCCAGCCTCTGGCTCACACCCTCTCAGCATCTGTTTTTCCAGGTGTTTAAAGTAAGGCTTTGTTTTGTTACTCACTGTATGGTGTCATGATTTCCTGTTCACAGAGTTTTCCTTCTGGACTGAATTTTAATCACGTGTGTGTGTCTGCAGGTGTGTGCAGGCAGACATGGATCCATGTACGTGTGTTTTGAATTAGCTTCACTATCTTCAATGCCATAGGAAATGCTGTTCCATGGATAAAGTGGTTTTATTCATCATGAACAGAAGAGAAAGTAGTAAGAACCAGGTAACTGAACTGGGCACAAAACTGGAATGAAAAGGTAACTAGAGAGACAGGGATTTCCCTTGGTAAAGAGGAAATAAATTATCATTATGAGTGACTCGATAAAACTGGGCAAAGCTTCCAGTTTAGGAATAATTTCTAAGGTCCCTGTCTATAAGACTATTAATTGCCAGGCTGGTGGTTTTCAGCATGAGCTCACCTCCAAACACCAGAGAAACAGCAGTAACAGGAATGGTATAAAATGCAGATTGATTCATCCACAGGGGTAGTCTGGCAAGAAGGATTTTTGACCATTCATTTCTGTAATTATGATGACACATTAACCTTGGATCAGGGAATCCAATCTACTCAAGAGCTTACCATAGGGCCATAAACCTATCTGAGCAGAGACTTCCATGAGGAATGGCAGCTTGAGCCAAAGATAAGACTGGCATGTGAAAGGAGGACAAGAAGTAGTCTTATTTTTTCTACCTAGAGGTGAGACCTAACAGGGTTGTTAAGGCAGGCTACCCAAAAGTGGTCAGAATGCAAGTTTCCTATCACCTACTACAACCTGTGTGTTATTGAGCTTCATTGCTGCCAGTGTGAACCAAGGGTTCAGCATTTTGGAGGAAGATTTGGCACGTTTGTGGAGATGTCACTTTCTCCCTTAGAGCCTTTGGAAAGAGATGAGATGTGCTGGATCTGTTTTGATCTGTTGGATCCATTAGAGAACACATTTAGTAGCCCTCTAGCAGGAAATCCAGATAAGTAGTGGCACGATCTGCAACCAGTGCCAAACTCTTCTGTTGGCAGGCTGGAGCCAAGATATCTGGCGAGGATGGGAGGGAGGGAAGGCTTTGTGCCAGACTGGTCAGCACTGAGACCATTTTGCCAGCCTGCAATCAGTTCACATTTATAATTTCTGTGGCACACTAATGTCTATAACATCAAACACTTGCTGGATGGGTTTTGCTGGGTATCCGGGGTTGCAGAAGCATGTATAGCAATGGATACCCAGGAGAGGAACAATCAAGAGCCTTATCATGGCAGTTTCTGGTGACAGAGAACACTGGGTTCCTAAGCTTGCTGTGACTAATTTTGATTACAGAAAAACTGTGCACATCAGTGCACACCACGCTGAAGTGAGCTGCTCCTGCAGAGATGCTGCGTGTGCCTAGGTGGAGCCCCAGACCATCATAACTACCTCGCTCAGCAATCTGAGCTGTGCTGGTACACTGGTGAGTGTTGAAATCAACCCCATCAGGATGCAGAAATAGACAAAGCCCTACTCTAACCAAAAGAGTGAAACTCAGGCAGTACAAAAAAAATTGGTAGAAAATTACACCAATTCTTACTGTGCAACTTTTTTTTTGGGCTGTAGAACTGGCTCAGTGGTACATGTCTTGAACTGTGCAGAAGTAGATGAGATTTAGATGATAAGATATAAGTTATCTTTATCAATCTTCAAAGCAATAAAATCACACAGCTGTGCTTTGTCACTTGGAGGTGAACGCTCAAAGGACAGGAAAAAGGCATTAGACCAGTC